GTGTCTCACATCCCTAACTTGAATTGCTTCTCTTGCATCCACTCTTAGCCAATCACTTTTGCACAGTTCAAACCAATTCTTCTAAAATACAAATCTTGTATTGTCACTGTCCTGCATATATCTTTCTGGTATTTTCTTATTGTTATTGCTCATTGCTCCTTAACTTGGTTTAAGAGGTCAACTGTTATACACTACAGGGCTCTCCTTTACTCTAGAGAACTCAGGTTCTCTAGTTCTGGGACCTTGCACTTGATTTACCTCCTCTGCTTGGAAGGGTCTTCCCATCTGCTTTCTCCTTCACCTGGCTGCTTCCTACTCATCCATTGGGTTTAGGCTTAGTTGTTATATCCTCTGGAAAACCTTAGCAAACAATATTCCTATCACCATGTATTTTTCTTCAGACAACCTTTGTGACAACAAATAAATTTGTTAATTAATAACAAACTAACTCCCGGCCTACTGGACTCTAGGAAGGCTGACATTATTTCTATCTTGCCTGCCACCATATCTTAATGCCTAGTACACAGGAAATATTTATATAATAAATAAATAACGCAGTCACCAAAAAATTAGTTTTAAAAAAGAGGGATCAGACTAACAAAAACAAAAACAATCACACCCAATGCTGGAAATGATACAGATAAATGGGTAATCATATATTTTTGGTAGAAATGTGAATTGCTACAAACTTTCAGGTTAAGTAAACGAGCAACATGTACCTGAAATTTTAATTTTACTTATTTTTTTCATCCAAGTTTTTTTTTTTAAAGATTTCATTTGTTTATTTGACACAGAGAGAGAGAGAGACAGCAAGAGAGGAGACACAAGCAGGGGCGGGTGGGAGAGGGAGAAGCAGACTCCCCACTGAGCAGGGAGCCCAATGCGGGGCTCGATCCCAGAACCCTGGGATCATGACCTGAGCTGAAGGCAGATGCTTAATGACTGAGCCACCCAGGCGCCCCCCTCCAAGTTTTTATTTAAATTCCAGTTAATTAACATAAAGTATAATATTAGTTTCAGGTGTAGAATTTAGTGATTCATCACTTCCATGCAACACCCTGTGCTCAATACATAAGCACACTCCTTAATCCACCTATTTAACTGATCCCCCCACCCACCTCCTCTCTGGTAACCATCAGTTTGTTCTCTATAGTTAAGAGTTTCTTGGTTTTGTTTTGTCTTGTTTTGTTTAAATCGTGCCATTTGCAACTATGTGGATGGAGCTAGAGAGTATTATGCTAAGCAAAATAAGTCAGTCAAAGACAAATACCATATGATTTCACTCATATGTGGAATTTAAGAAACAAGACAAATGAACATAGGGTGTACTAGAATCTTTTAAAAAATCTTCATCTTCCTTGGAGCAGTAATCTTAGTTTTGGAAATCTATCTGCAAATATAAAAGTTTCTGTATATAAGGAACTATATACCCTGTAGGTAACCTCTTTTATTAGTTTCTGTTATAAATGCCCAGCCTTTCTTTATGTAAAAACAAACTAATAGGAATATATATATTCTTATGTGTTCTACAAAAGTTAGCAATATACACTAAACTTACCTTTAAAAAAAAAAAGGTTTAATTAGACTTTATTGGCAAAATCCTCATTACAAAACAAAAGCTATCTTTCCATATTGAAAAATTTCCTTAACTGATTTTTAACTGGAACCAGTTGCTTCTCTATCCTAAAATCTTTTTTTTTCTTTCTTTCTTTTTCATTTTGGTCAAATTGAAAGCTTGCTTGACTGCTTTTTTTCCTGCTGTGCTTAAGCACAAAAGCACAAAAAAATGATCAATATGGCAATCAAGATAATTCAATAAAACAATTTTTCATATGTTTGCCACCAGGGAATGCCACAGAGACCACCACTACAGGACAACAGAGGAGGAAACTCTAAGGCCATCTTTGAGTTAATTTGCCAGTTTTAATGTTTCTTTAGAAAAATTTGGTCCTTTGGTTCAGATACACAGTTCATAGTGCCATCAATTGAAGCTGTGCACAGATATACAGGGAGAAAATGTCTCCTTTCAGGTTAACTTGGTTTCAAACTCACAATGTGAATTCTCTATTTGAAATGTAGCTAGTTTCATCTAGTCTAAATTGGGGGTATGTATCATTGTCTCTTTTCACCTCAGGCCAGTACTGGAAATGAGATGTTTCATTTCAGTGCATTTTTTCCAATTGAAATTGTGTAAATAAATAGATTGGGAAAGACTTAATGAAATCATCAATAGCCCAGAGCCATCTATTGGCCCCGTGCTAAGCATTTGGCATAATCAACTGTCTAAGAGATTGAAAGTCCTAGGTACCGGGATTTAAGGTTATCATGAGCTCAGAGAAAGGGGGTCTACGAAAGGGTTGGCATAGTATCTTCATATACATGGGTTAAGTCAAATGAAGGCATAAGTGATCCAGGGCATTTTAACCAATAAAAAGAAACTATATGGATAATTCAAATATTAAAATTCATATTTTAACAGTAAAGAAAAACTAGATTAGAATTCAAGAGAACTTACTTTTCCTTCTGGTTTTCTTAACTCGTTGCCTTTAGATAAGCCATATGATTTCTCTATGCCTTAGTTTCCTGGCAGGAAAAAAAAAGAAAAAAAAACATGGTTCAAAAAGGACTCTTTTACTCACAACATTAAGGATTGCAGACACAACAAAGAAAGTAACAAAAAATGGAGCTGACCACTTCATCCTTGCATCAACTGGAAGAGTACTGCATTTTTCTACTGCATCTTACATTTGCATTTGAAAGAGTCCTGTGGCTATAAAATGTTTGAACAATTAGTAGTTTGGAAAAGGATTTCTAAAGTGAACTCCAGCTCTGATGATTGCACAGGTATTTTAGATAAGATATGTAATTCTCAATTCTAATCATTAGTAACCTCTGTAAACATATCTTCAGTGACACAAGGATTTTCCTTGGCACCGATTTACAAAGGAGAAGGACAGCACTAAAAAGGAATGAAGGAAGGGAAGAGAGTGGAGATAGATCACAAGGTATATCACCTTGTTAGCACAGAAAATCAACATGAGCATTTGTATGCATTCTATTGAAAAAATTCTCATTTTATGACATTTTGACAAGGTAAAGAAAACTGGAATAATATTGTACCTCATTTACTCAACTTCCAACTTTTTTGATGGGAAATATTTTTTAAAACAACCTAATCCTAATCCTTAACTGGAATCTTGAAAATAATGTTCTCCCCAAGTATTCAGTTTGTATTATGAAATATTTTATAAAAGAAATGAGACACTTTAGGAACACAATAATTCATGCCTAAAATTCCCATTCATTCTCACATATTCTGAATACCTAAAATGATGTAGTAGAGTCCTTCCTGCTTGGCTACTTTGATTGCTCTTCTCAGTGATGGCAAAAGGTCATATTGCTTTATAAGGGCAAACACATAAGCACAAATAATTGTGTTTTGCTGCAAATAATTAAAGATGGCAAAACTATTAATTTGTTTAACCAAGTCAATCAAACATTAGGAGATATTACAAGATCAACTGGAAGGGAAGTTGTGTTTCTGGGTGCATGCACCCAGAAAGGTTCCACATTATCTTATGAGGAAAAGCTAATTTCCATTTTATCAATTCCCCAAGATAAATGTGGGTGGGCAAAAGAGGGCCTTTTAGAAAAATCGTGTAAGACTGTTGAATCACAAAGCTGTACCTCTGAAACAAATAATACATTATATGTT